ATTCAAGGGTGGAAGATATCACTTTCAGAGGACCACTTATCCTCTCTGGCTGAAAAAGGAGATTGGCCCACTTTCAACAAGACTCTGACATTAATTATGTTTGGGACCTTTCTATTCCCCACTAGTGGAAAAATATGATTCTATGACGACTTTTTATGATGGTTGTAATCCACCCGTCATAGTATATAGAGCGGTGGCATTTTTGTAATAATATTATAAACTTTTTATGTCGGTTGTTATATAATCGACATGGTATGTGAGCAAATTCACTTTCTATGTCGGTTAAATTTGAACCGACATAGAAAGTACTTTCTATGTCGGTTAAATTTCAACCGACATAAAAGTTCACTTTCTATGTCGGTTAAATTTGAACCGACATAGAAAGTACTTTCTATGTCGAATCAAATTTTAACCGACATAGAAAGTACTTTCTATGTCGGTTCAAATTTAACCGACATAGAAAGTGTATATTAAATCAAAAAAATTAAATATATAAATATATCAAAATATATCAAAATATATCAAAATATATAAATATATTTGTATTTATATATTTTGTATATAAATATAATTTATTTGTAAGTTATTTATCGGAAAATCATAGTAGCTTAGTGGTTGGAGTATTAGTCTTCAACTCTAATGTACTTGGGTTTGAATCTTGCTAATGACAAACTTCTAATAGATAATAAAATCATATATTATAAAATATAATATAAACGAAATGTAATTGTAAATAAACAAAAATCATAGTAGTTTAGTGGTTGGTCTAATTCTAGACTACAATGTACTGGGTTCGAATCCTGTTAATATAAATTTTTGTAAAAAACTCATTACTTTCTATGTCGGTTCATAACAACCGACGTAAAAGGTCATACTTTCTATGTCGGTTCATAACAACCGACATAAAAAGTCATACTTTCTATGACCCCTATATCTATGTCACCTCTTTAACCGACGTAGAAAGCCCATTTTAACCGACATAGAAAGCCTTTTTTGCACTAGTGCCCTTTCCATAATGACGTTGTAGATCACGCCGCAATGGACGCCTTCTTTGCTTGGGAGGCACATCTAAAAAGTCCCGTGCCTGCTCTTCTTGCCGAAACCTTGTTGTCAGTAGAATTCTGTCATCATAAGCAAGGAAAAACACTTCGTTGTTGTTCTGCATTGTTGTTTGTTTGGGGTATCACTCACTTCTATGCCTCAAGTCATATGGGAGCATTCCCAGACCCGTTGAGAAGCTTCTCGAAGATCCCCCTCCATCATCGTGGTGCCATAGAGTGGAAGACTGAGTTGGAGCACTGGAACATAGATCACATATCTTGGGCATGTCCTTGGTTCCGACCTGGCCTTGTTCTCATCCGATGCGGAGATCACCCCAGTGTACCATATTGGGCCTCAGGGGCTTCATAGCTTATTCTCCAAGGATAGCCCTGAGGCAGCTCATGAGGACCCAGACCACCCCAACACAGGAAGAAATCGGGGGATTGTGTTTCTTCTGCAATTCTAACAACTTCAAGGACGCTTCCGCGATCCGAAAAGCATGGGAGAGACCAGTCTATGAGGGGGACGAAGAGCTTGGCAAAGCTCGAATAGCAGTTTCCAGTGATTTTGAGGAATGGAGGAAAAATAGAGGGGTGCCACATCCATCCACTCCATTCCCCTCACCGTCAGCAAATGCAGAATTTCGAACCCGAGTCGATGCCTTGACCCAAAGGATAGAAGTTATGGGAGCCCAATTGAGGGGCCTTGAAGAAAAAGAACAAGAATCTATCCTTACCATCGATGGTCTGCAAAGGCAGTGTAAGAAGAAGGACCAAGAGATAGAGTGTCTCAAGGACCAGTGTGTTGACTCCAACAAAGAGGTTGCCCGAGCATCTAAAGTTGCTAGAGCAGGCTCGGATAATCAAATCCAGGAAATAACGGCCAAATTAGCACACCTTGAGGCTGAATTAGCAAAGCAGGCACAGGCAACCAAGACAATACAACGAGACCTCGAAAGAACTCGGTTTGACGCACAACGAAAGAGGGAAGTCGCCCAAAGACTTAGCAGAGACTTGGCTGAGCTACGATGCAAGGAAAGAGACGGATTAGCTCAGTACGGCCAAGTGTTGCAAGAAAGAGACCGAGCCCTTGAGAAACTTGATGACTTACAAGCATTGGTCATCCATCAAGAGGCAAAGATAGAAGAGGCTCGTAAATACAGCGAAGATATGAGCCAGGCGGTCTATCGCCAGTCTGAAGTACTCACTCATCATATACGGGAAGCCGAGGAGGAACTACGTAGAAACCAGAGCCCGCCTGTGGGTTTCTTTAGGCTTTACCGTTTCTGCCAAAACGTACTTCGTAGCATGGGCTAGGGGAATGTACACTTTTTCCAGATAAATAGAATCACGTTTTGTTTATCTTTATAATTGTTTATTGCATTCATCTCGCATTCATTCACATATCCCTCCTTGCTTTAAAAATTAATAAGACAACAAAAAAGAAAAGGTTAACTGATGTGCTGTCATAAAACAGAAAAGAATGGAACGAAAACCACTCATCATCAGTCTTTCCTCAACGGTTGAGCCACCCACAATGGCCAATAAAACTCAACCACTGGTTATCACTATCGGTAAAGAAGAGGGGACTATGACACCATTACGATTATTCATGCCTCGTCCTTTCCCCTACGAATCAAACAAAGTTATACCATGGAAATACGCAGTAAATGAAGACGTTTCCAATATAGCCGGTATTGGGGGCACGACCAAAAGTGGGCGAATATATGCTCCCAAGGATTCACAAGAAGATGCCCCCAACAATAAAGGAAAAAACAAAGAAACCGAAGAAGAAAACAAAAGAGAATCCGAGGGGGAAGCAGGCGAATTACTCCAGTTCATAAAGTAGAGTGAATACTCCATCATAGACCAACTCAACCACATGCCCGCGAAGATAACTTTGTTGTCTCTGATAATGAGTTCAAAACCACACCGAAACGCACTGTTGAGGGTCTTGAATGAAGCCCACGTATCCCACACCATATCCCAAGACAAGTTCGAAGGAATCATTGGGAATATCACAGCCAGTAATCATCTCACCTTCACTGATGAAGAACTTCCTCCTGGAGGGTCGAGCCATAACAAGCCTTTACACATATCCGTCAAGTGTAGAGAATACCTCATCGCCAAAGTCCTGGTCGATAATGGGTCATCCCTGAATGTCATGCCTAGGTGCACGCTTGACAAATTGACAATTCAAGGAGCCCATATACGTCCAAGCAACACCATCGTTCGAGCCTTCGTCGGATCAAAACGTGAGGTAGTAGGAGAAATCAATCTACCAATCCGCATAGGTCCCATTATTTTTAACGTGGACTTCCATGTGATGGATATCACTCCTGCTTACAGTTGCCTCCTTGGCAGACCTTGGATTCACGACGCCAAAGCAATCCCATCAACACTCCATCAAAAGATCAAGTTCGTGGTAGACGACAAACTGGTCACAGTTCAAGCCGAAGATGACATCTTGATCAGAAAGCCGCCTACCCTATCTTATGTGGATACAACAGAGGAGGCCTTCGAAACAGCCTTTCAGGCGCTGGAGATTGCCAATGTTGAAAGACTTCCCAATAACATGAGGGTGGCACATATGATGACAAAACACGGATACTGCCCAGGCCAGGGACTCGGTACAAATTCCCAAGGAATAAGAGAGCCACCAGATTTCAGGGACAATCCTTTGAAATGCGGTCTAGGGTACAACCCCAGTACAAGAATAAAGGGGAAGTCTTCCCTCCGCCCGCTGAATCAGATCTTCCGAAGCGGAGGGATACAGGCGTCAAGAGCAACTTTAGTCATTAGGTGTTCTTCTTCCATTTTTTAAAGGAATGTAAACCCAATGACTATTAGAGATTACTCCCCGGGGGTAGCCCGACCCCCGGGCATTTTCAGGGCACATATTACCCTTTTAATCACAGGAGAATATAATTCTTACTATCTGCTTCTTTTCTTACTACTCATGTCTACGCCTCATTGATAACCACACTTAAGCAAACATTTCTATAAGGCGTCTAAAAACTTGAAAGCGCACCAACAAGTAAAGAAACAAATTAAAACATCATTGATTGACCAAGAAACACGAATAAGGTTTTACCCCATCATAAGGAAACCATGATTTGCCAACATTGCAAAAATAAATAAAAAAGCCCATAAAAGGCCAAAGGCAAAAAAAAAAGGGCATCCAACCCGGTAGGAAACCCACAAAAGGGGGCTATGCAAAAGTTAGGGTCAACCCGCTAGGAAACCCGACCAATAATAAAGGGTAGCCTAGACAAAAGATAGGGTTACAAAACAAAGTCCATTAGGGTTTCTAAAAGCATAATAAAAAGAAACCCCAACAAGAGTTAAGGACGAAGCACAATATCCTAGATTGAAAACCCGAAGGGCGGTCTAGGAAAGACAATCAGTCTTAGCAAGCGCCGCAAAGCTCACCAAGCAAAGACGCAACCCCACAAATAAACGTTTGTTTAAGCTAAACCTAAACAGTTTGACTAACCTTGGCTAGCCATGCTTACAGATACCATTGGTTTCAAAAAACCCCTCTAAAAACACAAACCTTTGATTTAATCATCCTTTTCCTTCTTTTCTCTTGACCCTTATCACTATGATATTCTAGCGATTAACCGGGTAATATGAAAGCACAGTAATCAATAGGAGGATTGAAATTCTGAAAAAGGGAAGAAACACACCAGTATGGTGAAATAGCTCTCCAACACGATCATACTTCGGTTATGGCAAAACCCAAAATGGCAGAAATGGTACAGCTAAAGGTAGCACCAGAAGAATCCCTCCGTTAGAAGCATCTCTCCGTCAAGAGTACATCAATTAATTTTTCTGAAAGTAATTAATTGAAATAGCATTATAAGTTGCATATCATGAACATTACATGCATAGATGTTAATGAATAAGGTCCTATTTCCTTCAAAAATAATAAACAAAAGAAAAAATAAAAAAACACAGGAAAGGAGCAGACAACCGTCCGTTTAAGGCAGATGGCCGTCCAGAAGGAGCCGTTAGGGGGCAGACGGCCGTCCACCCTCGCCAGACGGTCGTCCAGGGATTCCCGTTGGGGGCAGACGGCCGTCCACCCTCGCCAGATGGCCGTCCATGGGTAGCCGTTGGGGGCAGACGGTCGTCCATGGGTAGTCGTTGGGGGCAGACGGTCGTCCACCTAGAGCAGACGGCCGTCCGCCCCTGTTTCTCTTGCCTATAAATTTAGGCGCCCCAAATGGTTCATGGCACCTCATTCTTGCATTCTCCCTTCCTCCTACACCTCCCTCTGCATATTTTGAGTGTTCTTGGTCAAGTAATGGATCGTGGAGAGTCGTCTACACGTCGGAAGCGCTCCCGAGGACCCATAAGGATCATCCCTCCTCCTCAGGTTCCCACGCAACTAACAGAGCAGCACCAGGCCAGGTTTGCCAATATCAGTCAGTATGTTTGGCACCCTATGCTATGGTTGGACTTCAACATCCTAGCCATGTTCGGTTGGGATCAAGATGTGAGGAGATACATCCAAGGTATAGGGTGGGACTTCCTGCTCAAAGATCCACCTACCCGCATCCATCGCACGGTCACACTCGGAATTCCTTGCTTCGGTCACACTCATAGACCTACCATCTATGATCCCCGGCTTCCGCCTATCCCAGCGAGTCACCTATTGGATGAATGGGGCTTACCGGACTAATGTCATAGACGACTTCAACGTCCTCATGGGATTCCACCAACCCGCGAGATCCGTACACCGAATACAGGGGGCATTCCGTGAAAGGCCGACCACCCTCACCACCGATCGGATATGGGAGGAGATCACCGGCTCCCAAGCACGTTCCCGCCAATCCAAAAGGAACTGCCTTCCTCCCGTCTCTCTGCATCTGTCATAAATTGCTAGCAGGAACCCTTCATAGCTGGAAGGAAAGTCAAGGCAAGGTCACCTAGGCGGACCTCTTTGTCATCTACTGCATGCATCAAGGGATCTGATGCAACCCAGGCTACCTCTTCTTGAAGGTCCTGAAGGACTTTGGGACGCGAGGCCCTGCAAGATCCCTTATGGTAGGCCCCCTTATCACTCCTCTAGCCGAGTATTGGGGATGCACCGATGGAGAAGACATCCCCCGCCTCGCGACCGCAGCTCATAGATGGTCCGGTACTCGCTCACATGAGCATGCTCACCCGTCAGGGCACCTCCTGGGTCATACACCCCATCCTTGCTATGACGTTCGACATCCAGGAGATAGATGCTTCAGAGTCACAAGAGACGCCCGTCGCCCCAGGAGCCCAACAGCAACAGACGCAGTACGAAGATAGTCTCGCCAGCCTACACCGGCACATGAGCGACGACAGGGCCCACTCGGATAGGCAGTACCAAGCACTCGTGCCAACGGATCGATCGGTTGTCCTTAAGGTAGCAGAGCTATGAGCAAGGCCAGGAAAGCCTTACCCTGAGGGTAGACAGCCTCATGCAGAGAATGGACACAATGGGCCAGGACATGCACGGCATGATCCGAAGCCAGGAAGAATTCCAGCACCGCGTACTCCGCCGACTCCCTTCGCCATCACCATCCTCAGCATCCAGCTCAGAGCCGAAAAATTGAGATCTTTATAAAAGCTCCTATTGTACTTTAATTTTCCACAAAAAACAAATAAAATGAGACTTTATGTTCCCATCTTATCGCATCTCTGTACAAAAGCCAGCATGCTTAGAAAAAACTAAGAAGATAAAAAGGCACATGCGTCATTACAAATAAAAAAAGAGGAATAAAATTGCAAAAAAATGAGAAATTAATCAAATATTGCCAGCATGCTTAGAGAAAAACTAAGAAGATAAAAAGGCACATGCGTCATTACAAATAAAAAAAGAGGAATAAAACTGCAAAAAATTGAGAAATTAATCAAATATTCCAACTGCCAACAACAAGAGGAAATCATTAAAATCCCCGGCAACCAACAAGTCGGACGATTGAAGAAAAATTAGGAATTCCATTTTCCCAGCAGGATAAGAGCTTGACGACGCCAGCTCGCACCCATATCAATTAAGGAGCCGAGACCCCATTCCCCCAAAGGGTTATCAAAATCTAATCCCCAAGGAATCAACCAAATCTCTGATGGATCACCAAAAAGAAGAATTCACACCCAAATGCAATCTTCACAGTCATATCCTCAGAGGCATCATCAAGAGCCAACATCCCCAAAAGGGGATATTAGCCTATTCAGAGGCAAAACATTACAACCAAAAGTCTTCACTTCTGATGAAGCATCTGAGGCACTATCAGAACCTCAATGAAATATCTGCCTACCCAGAAGCGTCACCAGAATCAACAAATCTTCAATGGATCCCTGCCTACCTAAGAGGCATTCATCAAGAATCCCCAGCAGTCAAGAAGTTAGACGACTAAACAAAAAAAGCCAAAAGCGAAGAATCCCTGGCATACCGGATAACTACGCAAAAGAATCAAGAACAATCACTCCCCATGGAGTTGGCACATGATCAGAAACAGTAAGCCGCCACCACCTCTTCAGGAAAGGTAAAGACCTAAAGACAAAGACCTGCACACCAGGCAAAACCGGCGCATGATCAGAAACAATAAGCCGCCACCACCTCTTCAGGAAACGGAAAGACCTGAAGATGAAGACCTGCACACAGGCAAAGCCGACGCATGGCCAGAGGCAGTAAGCCGCCACCACAGCCAAAGGGTCAGCTACCGCGTCAAAGGAGCATCCTGAGGCATCTAACCTAATAGGGGGTCACAACATCTCGTCCGAGGGGTCAGCTACCGCATCGAAGGAGCATCCCGAAAGTCTCTACGTGTCAGCCGAAGGGTTAGCTACAGCACCGAAGGAGCATCCTGAAGCCTCACAACATCTCGTCCGAGGGGTCAGCTACCGCATCGAAGGAGCATCCTGAAAGTCTCTACGTGTCAGCCGAAGGGTCAGCTACCGCACCGAAGGAGCATCCTGAAGCCTCACAGCATATCGTCTGAAGGGTCAGCCTCCACAGCAAGAGGAGCATCCAGAAGACAACCGGGCAAGAGAATTAACTCCTTCACCCGCCAATTGACCTCATAGTATGTTAACCCATGGTCAATTGGTCGGGTAAAAGGGGGGGCAGCTGTAGACCCCAAATCTTGCCCGGACTCCTAATAAAGTCGAAGATCGCCCATTCCGAAGATGGTTAAGACTTTATCAAGTCCCTAGTAGATTGTTCTAGGTTCCATTTAGGATAGGAAGGGTTTTTAGAGGCATTAAAAATCGAGAAATCCACCGGAGACAGCAGATGGCCATCCAGAACAGGCGGATGGTCGTCCAGAGCAGGCACACGGCCGTCCATGACAAGCAGATGGCCGTCCATGGCAACTTTAAGGCCATGGACGGCCGTCCACACTACATGGACGGCCGTCCATGGCCACTTTTTGCCCTGGACGGCCGTCCGCTTTGTCCAGACGGCCGTCCGCCTTTTCCAGGCCCGAATCCCTATAAATAGGGGTCTCATTCCTCTGAAAATTGACACCTTTTCCACTCCTCCACTCTCTTGGAAGCTTTTTGGCACTTGAGAGTGACCCTGAGCATTATTCCGGGGTTCGAGGGAGCTTTTCGATTTTCGTTAAGGTTGAAATCGGTTAAGGAGGTCTCTCTTTGAGGCATCCGACCCTCGGTTGAGTGACTTTTCTTTGTTTTACGGAGAGGAGCGTGCTTGTAGAGTGTGGGGACTGCCAAAAAGTGTCCTCACGTTATAGAAGAGTTAATATAAAGCTCGCTTCGGAGGTTTCTTCTCTATTCTTTGTCTCTTTTACTACTTTCTTTATCGCTTTCTTTGTGTGCATTAGATAGTAGAGCCATGTAGATATTTAAATTCTGCAAGTAGATTAAATAATAGGGTAAAAATGTAATTTCTTTAAGTATTTATTTTCTAAGTTAGTCCATCATAGGGAACCCGAAAGGGGCGTTGTGGGGGTGCTAACACCTTCCCCGCACGTAACTAACTCCCTTACCCGACTCTGGTTGTAACGACCAAAGTTGGTTTTTTCTAAAACCACTGCCTTTTCTTTTTTTTTACCTTTTTCAGTGTTTAAGGTTAAAACACTGGTGGCGACTCCTCGAACATATTCGAAAACCTCGCCCTTAGGTCTAGCCCGGTTATCGGACGGCCTAAAGGCGTTGAACCGTTTCTTTCAAAGAGAACGCGAGTCAATTAAAAACCATCGCGTCACTCCGACCGCCTTTTTTGACGGCAGCGACAATAAGCAAGAAGTAGGCGTATAGCCTCTAACCTGGCAATAGGAGCATAAGTTTCATAATAATCAATACCTTCCTCCTGACAATAGCCTTTGGTAACAAGTCTGGCTTTATTCTTTGTTATATTACCATCTTCATCAAGTTTGTTTCGAAATATCCATTTAGTTCCAATTACTTGATGTGATTCTTCTCTTGGGATTAATTCCCAGACTTGATTCCTTTCAAATTGGTTAAGTTCCTCTTGCATAGCTATGTACCATTGGTCATCTTTAAGCGCTTCCTCAACATTTTTGGGTTCTATCTGTGACACAAAAGCTACAGACATGCTAAAATTTGTCATATTTCTATTTCTTACCCCTTTTGAGATATCACCAATAATATTGTCCATTGAGAGTCCTCTTGATGATTGTCATTCTTTTGCTAATTTAGGAGTTTGAGAAGGCTCATTTTCTTCCAAATACAATTCATCAAGAGCCTCTCTTATGTACTCATCATCACCTGCAAGTTCTTTATTTGACTCAAGAGGATTTCCCCCAAGGTCTACAATTTCATCAAAAGTTACATGTATAGATTCTTCAACATTTAAAGTTCTTCTATTAAACACTCTATAAGCTTTGCTAGTTAATGAATAACCTAGAAAAATGCCCTCATCGGCTTTTGAGTCAAATTTTCCTAAGTTGTCATTTCCATTATTTAACACAAAGCACTTACATCCAAATATTTTCAAATGAGCAACATTAGGCTTTCTACCATTTAACAATTCATAGGGAGTTGATTTTATAATTGGCCTAATAAGCATTCTATTCAAAACATAACATGCAGTACTTACCGCATCAGCCCAAAAATATTTAGGAACATTTGATTCATTTAGCATTGTTCTAGC